ACCAATATATATAAACTCTCGAAGGATTTATAATTTCCTTCGGTGTTTCTTCTAGATTTTTATGGAAAACATTTCCCCCCAAATTCTTACAGGAACAGAAACTAAATCTATTGAGATCATACAGTTTGGTGACAAATATTTTACAAACTATTTTTAAATCAGTTTCTTTAATATCTGAAAACAGTAAATTGGACATTTAAATGACGGAGCTGATAATTTTTATTCTGTAAAATACCTTATACTTTTCTGTTATATAAAAACAAACCATTCTTCTTAAACTTAACCTAAATGGACAATTTATGAGAACTGAAAAAGTTCATAGAATTTCTCAAGGTTCTACAACATAACAGTTCATGCATATTATAGCCAAGTTGAATTGTTCCTTAAATACAGCAAGCTATTGGATGCCACACAGCCTTACCACTTTTAAACCCAAAGCATCAGAATGAGAAAGGGCCAAAAGGAAGCTCTTTATCTACAAAATAACCTATCTTCATCAGCTTCCTTTAGTCTCAAGAAAAAAATGAAAGTCAAGCTAAAACATCATCTTCCTTGCTTGGAAAAAGACTGCTAAAAGCAGCTTATAAGAATGCCAAGAGGAGAATGTGATTCCAGAAAAAGTATGGGATTGAATCAGAAGGCTAGGATTTCAGTTCCAACTACCTATGTGATCCCGACAATCACATAACCCTCTCATCTCCACTTCCTCGTCTGTGTGATAGGGATAACCCTGTATCAAGAGTTGTTGTGAGTTCAAATCAGATATGTGTGAAAAGTGAATGAAAAGCCATAAAGTAAATAAAATAACAAGATGTATTCTTGTTGTTTAGGGTTGTTTGTTTGGTGTGGTGTGTGTGTGTGTGTGTGTGTGTGTGTGTATGTTTTACCATTAACTCTAGGTGTCTTCCTAAAAAGCATTCTATGCCAGTGTCCTATACTTGATCAAAAGCCATGAATATCACTTATAACTCTGGAGAACACTGGATCCAAATAGACTGACCCAGCAACTGACCAGCACTTTGTCAGAATATGGTCACAGGCAAAGTTGGTAATCCAAGGAATGAAATCTGTGTCCAGTTCAGCACAGTGCAGCTAAACAGCCAGCTGGGTCACCTCAACCTGAAACACTGTGGACATTCTGAAAATGAATGTTTTCAATACATTCTCCCTTCTTCAAACTAGCATCCAAAGTACCTGTCCATTCTCTTAGTTCCCATTTTTCCATGAATTTCCATGTTTGTCCTCTAATATGTGTCCTTGACTTGCATCCTGTGATTGATACATGCGCCTAACTCTCCTGGCTCTAATCACAGATTCACCTTTTCCTCTTGTGCCATACTTGGAAAATACCCCCTTCTCAATTAAGTCTGGCCCCTGCCTCTGAGAATCTAGGATTCCAGACCAATAGACCACACACTTAAACGATTCCTACCTGTAGGCAGTGTCGAGCAAATAATTCTTAAACTATTATTAACTGGTTCTTAATGATGTTTGTAGTCATTCAAAACATCTAAAAGATTTGAGGATTTTTCTTTGAGTGTGTGTTTAATTTTAATGGCCTCTGAGCATTTCTAAATCTAATTATTAGAAATTTGGAAAGAGAAAATGACTATTGCACATTGGCCTTTGGGAGTCTGGTTGGTTTAGCAGAAGCTGCAAACCACAGTTTTGTTGTAAACATCTCTCCCTACCCTGTCACCTCAAGGTCAATATCTCACAACTCACACTTATATCCATGTGGAAAGGAGTTTTGCCAAAATGAGACATAGGAAGTCTCTGTGTCCCTAAAAGTCAAGGGTTTCCATGATGGAAAAATTAGATCAGGTCAAAACTAAGCATGCTCAAGTGAAGGCACCTAGAGTAAAGGGCAGTGGCACTCTCCAGAGTCCTCTGATGGGATAATTTGACCTAAATACAATGTCATCTTCAACATTTGTTTCAGATCTAAAATCACACAAGGCAAAATTTCAGAAAGGACCAAATGAAAAAGATTAAAAAAAAAAAGATTTTGGTCCCTAAAATTCAGCTGGAAATTTGGCTGGGGCTAGATGGCTAGATTTAGAAAGTAAATTGAGTAACATTAATCAAGGCAACTCCAGAATCCACAGACTAATTTATGTTCACAGTTTTTTTTTAATTTATTTATTCAAAAAGTAAAAGGGAATCCTTAGGGTGATAGGATTACAAAATGGATTCATTCATTCAACATAGATTCACTGAGTACAAAACAAGAGTAAATTATAGTGATACAAATGGAGCAGTAGAGCAGTGATTTTAGATACAGAGGTAAGATGAAGCACACATCACTTTTACAAAAGGAATGAAGTCAGTATCCTATAGACAAAAAAGTGAGTAAATACATAGTGATACATGTGCTACAATTAGCAAATTATCTTTTGTATTTTCCAAGTTATTCTGGGTAATTATTTCAAAAGGTGCAAAAAAGAAGCAGGGAAGGAAAGATAAGCAGATCTGGAAAGAAAGGTCATGGATACAGAGAAAAAGAAAATAGCTTGTGAGTAGAGAAAGATAAAACATATTGAGCTTTACAGATAGGTTGAAACTATATTTCAGAAAAGTAGACAAGTCCAGTTGGAAAATAGTGTGTTTAGTATCAAAAGTCCAAGCTGCTAATAAGTAAGTGGTGCGGTCTAGCCAAGGCAACACTGCCCACATGTCTGTGTATAGGTTCAAAAGGCAGCCAGGACAGAACGGAGTTAAGGCCAGACTGAGAAGAAATCTAACACATTAAGGCATGTGGCCAATTAGGTGATGTGAACTAAGGCATAACACCATGAAAAGACTGCTTTAAGAACATCACTTGACAGTGAATATTCTCAACATCTATTAAGACTTCCTCACTTCTTCATTACCTCTTTGTTTTTTATTTAAATAATGTACCATTGCATCAAACTTAAAGATAGATGGAAAGAAAACACTTATCCCAAAACCACTTCCAAAGCTGTAATTCCCTAGTTTTGCTAGCCATCTATACATTGACTTTACTTATCTTCTATTTCTTCTTTCCACTTTCCTCCCTCCTTCCCTCCCTTCCTCCTTTCTACTCTTCCTTCCTCCCTGGACACAAGAAGTCACCAATTCCAACAGAATTCTCCTTTATGGTCTCAAGAATCTACAGTTAACCAAAGATCCCCTATCAGAGGCCCTTGTTACCCAGAGTAGAATAGTGCAATCCTATGCGACAGCCATTGAGGCAGTATTTCTGTCATCACACAGCACACTATACCTCATGGTACATATTCTCCAATACTTTGCTCCTGTGTTTCCTTCTTTACGCAGGCTCTACTCTCTGCCTGGCATGCCTATAACCCTCTCAGTCTGGGAAGTCCATAACTTTCTTTCAAGATCCAGCTTAGCTGTTCTCCCCTCCATACTCTCAGGGGTCTTGACTAATACCTGTATTTTAGTAGGTATTTGTTACTATGATTGTTGCAGGGCTCTCTTCCCCTTTATATACTACGTCACTAGAAGATAGAGGCCATGTTCTACTTGTCTTTATATCCAGCATTCAAAAGAAATTAATGCATATTGGCTGAATTAAAGAAACTGTCTTAGGTCAAAGCAGAAAATGTAGTTTACCTGGGAAATCTTCCTATCCAATTCCCTACCCATCCTCTTCATTTCATACTTTTCTGGTCATGTAATTTTCTCTCACTCCTCTCTGCTCTGTTTTGTCTACCTCAAATTCCGTCTGACTGCTTCTCTGCCTAGGAAACTTCTATTTATTATTTAACTTTTGGCTCACTGCTATCTCATTAGTAAAGCTGGCTTTGACTTCTCTTTTCTTGTCTCCAAAGTACACTCCATCATCACACTCATCACTCTGGGAGCACCTCCATTACCAAGCATGAATCTTACACAATTACTTCCTATTATGCCTATTTCTATGGCAAAGCTGAGGCAACCTTTAGTTTACTGCTTTTCTGGAGCCAGAGTTTTTGGTTTTGTGAACTATCTAGGCTCCAAACAACTATACAACTTTACTCTTATAGTGCAAAACCAACTACAGCAAATAAATGGCTGTGTTCTAGTGAAAGTTAATATTACAAAAACAGGTAACAGGCATCATTTTGCCATTCTAGAAACTTAATCAATGTTCATCAAATTAAAATCAATCTGGCAATGTTAGAAACCCAAATGCAATCCCTGCCCTCAAATGATTCCCTTATCCCATTCCAAATTTGTCAATGGTGGCAGCCTTGAAGACTACTTCACAGACAAATCCACAATAGGAACTCAATAACCAGTCATAGAAACAATCCAAATGGGATGGAAATGGGGTTTTGGGGGGCTTGTCTTTTTGCCAAATTCCCACCCTTCCTAACCTTACCTTAAAGGGAAATTAAATCTTAACTAAATGTTCTTGTCACTAATACTGACCTCCCACAAATAGACAACCTTTACTTCTAAGAGGAACAACTACTCCAAGACTCCATACTGTGCCTCCAACTTGTACTTTGCCTTCATCTCAGCTTCACCTCAGCTTCTGATATTATGTGTTTAAAAACAACATTATCTCAAAGCAGCAGGCAAATAGAAATAAACTTCCACTCTAAAGTGGGCAATGGGTTTCAACCTAAGCAGTGAAAACATCCTGGTGTTCCACAGTATTGTTCCATGCAGTTCTGAGCACTAACCTAGATCCTTTTATATAAATAACATAATAACCAGGAAAATGAATAAGGAAAAAAAATAAGATGAAAAAAGAGAAGCTTATTAAGTTGCAAACCTCTTGAGGCAGGAATCATGTCTTAATCACCTTTGCCCAAACAAAATACCTGGCATATATTAAGAAATTTTTGGTAATGAATGAATTTATGAACCTAAGCACCTAGATAATTTAGTTGCCAAAACACACACTTTCTCTAAATTATCTCAAAACTATGCTTTAAAATTAGCTCAATCCTTAGGGAAGTTTGAAAACCTTCCAGATATAAGTGGGGGAATAATCCATGCCCTCCTTTCTCCAGCAGACTCACCATCTTGAGTGTTCGGACTCAGGATTTGTGTTCTGAGTTCCTCCAGGCTAATTCCCAGACACTTGCAGATCTCCTCAGGGCTGTAGGGTTCAGAATGAAGGGCATCCTCTGTGACCAGCAGCATTTCTTCCAAACTAATCCCTAGTTCTGTCTGCACCTCTTCCAGTCGCAGGACTTTGTCCCATTGCAAGCTTTTGTACTTAGCCAGGAGCTGCAAGTTCAAACCAAGACATCAGTCAATATTCATTCCAGGATTGATATATACTATTCTAATTAGTTAGAATCAATTTTCAGCTGTTTAGGGTTTTGTTGTTGTTGTTTGTTTTCTACTCAACCTATTGAAATTTCCCACCATTGCTTGGAAGTGCATACTGAGATCGGATGTTTGCAATTAAACATGACTATATGATACTCACAGGCTAGTTAGATACCTGTAATGAAACATATATATACACATACATATGCATATGTGTACACACGCACAACTAATCCCCTACTGATTTTTTTTTTCTTAGTCTATCACCACTTTTCCCCAGGGCTATTTATTTGAATAACTTCATTATTTTATCCCTATTCAGTTCATCTCTACTACATCTCTATATATAAAGTCTAGAGAAAACTTATCAACTCTCATGTGACCTGGGTCCTGAGATGAACACTGTATGCCTGATTTCATTAGAGCACTTCCTGTTTACTACATGCCTCTATGAAAATGCCTAATGAGTTTAAGTGTCTGGGCGTTTAGAGTCAAGTCCCAGATTTTAAATGAAAACCTCATTGGTGACCTTATGAAAAATCCTTTCATTAGGTCGCTGGTAGTAGTAGAGCTGTATGTTTCTCCACCCTCAAGAAAAAGAGCCTGGCTTTCAGTTGTGTCCTGAGGCAGACCCACAAACTGATGGAGAATACAAACTGATGGTAGAATACAAACCAAGTCTTTCTAACCAGATCCACTTATGGGAATGCCAGTCCAAAATATATTATTTCTCTCATTTTCCCCAAACCACTGACATTCCTTCAGAGCAGGTGGCAATGAAAAACAATGAAGATTTCTCTCCCTAAATAAATCATTGCCTGGGTGTGAGGACAGCAGGTGCAAAAAAGAAGCAAGCAAGAGAAGGGGAAATTAGTCTTCAAGGAAATGTGCATCTGATTTGCTCTTCTATTTTGTTAATGATTTGATTTTCTTTCTTTTAGAGAGGAAGCAGGATTTACCAAAAGACTATTGTAGTTTGGTTAGGGCCACTCATTTCTAAAGAATGTTAATAACAGAAGTTCTTACATTTATTAATCATCTTTTTTAAAACCCTGGCTCATACATTTGAAAAGAGTTAATGATTTTAAGGCAGAACTGGGAAAAGAGACAATAGAACTATGTTTTTTTATTCAATTATTTCACAGAACATGGTGCCACTTTTAAAGCAAAGACATAAGCTAAGACCTTTCTTCTGCCCTTATTTGCTTAGCACATTTAATTAGTGTTTATTGGCAGTGATGGGTTGATAGCTCTACCAAATGACCACTCATTCATTCATTGAACTCATTCATTCATGTTCTATATGCCAATGTATTCCAAAAATATTTATAAAGTCAAACAAAATACAAAATAAATATACATTTATTTTATGTGGAAAAAGAGCAGAAGTCAATGATCTCATACAATAATGTTTTCTGTGAAATGTATCCAGAATCCAACCAAGATAAGCAATGAAGCTAACAAACATAGTTTGCTTCAAATGTGTTTTTTGCTTCTTAAAATCTTCAACAAACTTAGAAGATAGGTATTATTACACTGAGAGATGAAAGTAATTTGTCCAAAGTCACCTAACTAGTAAATAACAGAGTTAGAAATTGAACTCAAGACCTATAGCTCTTTCTTGCTTCCCCCAGGCCACATTCTTAATGAGGTACAGATGATATCTATGTTGTGTTACTCCTATTAGTTCAAAGCACTGCCTAAGTCTTAGAAAGGCGTTTCTAAGTATAAACTAAGGTTTTTGCTAGAACTGAACATTCCAATTATTTAAAAACACTTTGATAAATGGATTTCTTTGAAAATAAAGAAAAAGGAAAAACATCAGAGAATATCTCCTTATAATAAAAGAGGGCACTTATTTTTTTAAAGAGAGAGAGAGAGAGAGAGAGAGAGAGAGAGAGAGAATTTTTTGTTTTAATATTTATTTTTAGTTTTCAGTGGACACAATATCTTTGTTTGTATGTGGTGCTGAGGATCGAACCCAGCGCCGCACGCGTGCCAGGCAAGCGCGCTACCACTTGAGCCACATCCCCAGTCCCGAAAAGAGGGCACTTTCTAAGAACTTTTCAGTCACAAGTTCCCATCCTAATTCTCACTTAACTAGTCACATTACCCCATACATTTGATTTAAAAAAAAACCTGGTCCAGCGATGTACAGGAAAAAAGCCTGTGAGGGATGCCTGAAGCCCATGATTCAGTTTTCACAGGATCCCCCTATATCCTTTTCCCTAAAGACAAGAGAACTAATATGCAGAAGTTCACATTCACTCCAGCAATATCTCAGTTTTCTGTTAGCCCAATTGTCCACTTGGCCCTCAGCTGAAGGGTCTACACAGCCAACTTGGTGTGTATTTCAATTAAGGATGAAATATACCACATGTCCTCAACAACAGCTGCACAGCCCATCATCTGTCGAATTGCACTACACTGGAAGAGTAAAATAGGAAAGCCGCTTAAGCCTGTTGAAATTTGGCTCAGGAAGCAGAGAGATGACTTGCAGATGAGGGAAGTGGGTGGGTAAGATTGCTGTTGCTCAAAGACAGAATTTCATGAGGGAATTCATCACTTATGGTCCTGCTGACTGGCCTACTTCACATTTGTGGGGCAGGGCTACAGGTCATTTCGTCACAAGTTCCTCACTCAGTAGCAGGGTGGGGAAATAAGAAAAAGCAGTTCTTTGTCAACATTCACCATTTTCTTTTTTCCACAGCAAACCCATTAGGTGTTCACATCAGATACTACTTCTGGGAGGTTCCTAGCTCTGTCCCATGATCCATGGACATGAAAACAAGCAACACGTGGTTTGTTGGGTCAAGGAAAGAAGCACTGATATACAGTGATAGGATAATGTCTAAGGCAGCTTTGTCTCAGAAGCAGGCCCTCAGACAAGAATGGGGGGCAAGAAGTTGTGGGGAAGGTGATCCTAAAGAGCACTAATAGAGAAGTGGAAAGTGAGACAGGAAAAGGAGTCAAACATGAAGAGCACTGATATTGACAGATGAGAGTAAGTCTGTGGGGCCCTCTGAGAACTGCATGTATAAACCTCAGCTATAACTTACACAAAGGGGAAGAGAACTGGGATATTTACCACTAACTCCTACTTATGACTGGTTAAAGATGCTCTCAAGGGAATGAGATTCCAAGTCATCTCAGATTCAAAGTAAAGTACTAAATACTCTCCTACAACCAGCAAAAGTTCTCAGTCCAAAAACGGCCCCATTAAGCAGAGTTCAAAGATATCGACCCTATCAGAATCTACGTCTATTCAAACTATCTCATTGTATTAACCTGTCAAAGGAAAAAGTACCAAGTTTTCTCCTCACCAGGTCAGCAAAAAGAAAAGCTACCTCTAAAAACAGCAATTCATTCAACAAGCTACGTTCCATACAACATAAATACTTATGATAAAAATTTTAAATAATACCTAAAAGTTCAAAGTACAAAAAGAAAAATAAAATCATTCATAATCACCCCCAATGAATTAACCATCAACTGGGTTTTTTTGTTTGTTTGTTTTTTCTTTTTTTTGGTGCCAGGGATTGAACCCATAGGTGCTTAACCACTAAGCCACATCTCCAGCCTTTTTAAAGTTCTATTTTGAGACAGGATCTCAATAAGTTACTTAGTGCCTCGATAAATTGCTGAGGCTGGCTTTGAACTCGCAATGCTCCTGAATCAGCCTCCCAAGCTGCTGGATTACAGGCATGCTCCAAAGCACCCAGCTTAACTGCCATTTTGATAACCATCCTATCTTACTTTTCTTTCTGCATGCCTACACATATAGTCTGACATAAATGGAATCATACATAGCTGCTTTTATTGGGGATACTCTAAAAAAATCTTTCCCCTCAACCTTCTTCCAACTACACAGAGCCCTTCTCCAGTATTCCACACCACATAGTGACCTCTGTTCATGTACCATCCATAACTACCATGAACACATTCACCACATTGACCTTCCCAATTCTTAGTCTTCCCCATTGTCATGTTTTCCATATTAGTTTGCAGGCCACAGAATAATTCTAGTTGTGCCAATGGTCCTACTACAATCCTCTCCACACCCTCCCTCAACACAAGCTCTCTTCTCTAAGGCAAACTTCAGTATCGTGCTCAGGATCCCATTTATGCTTAATTCCTAAGGGAAACAATGGAAAGAACAGAGGCTAAGACAGACTTGGACTCCTCCATTCACTTCAAAGATGTCACCACACTACTTGGCCTGAAATTCCAAGTATGTAAAATGAAGCATTCACAAGCAATTGTGAAGATTAAATAGTTATTAAAACAAAGTAACACCTTCCCTGGTCTAGAAGAGGCACTCTGGGAGGATCAAATTTTCTTTCCTCTGTACATTCTTCTGACTTTTAGCCAATTCTCTCTCATTTGACTCCTTCTTCTATGCCTTCAAACATATATGAATGCTTCCTACTTTAAAATTCCTTATTCTTTATCTTTCCATTGCTTTCCAACAACTATAACAGTGGCTATCCTCACCACTTCCAGGCCTTCCCTAGCCATTCTAACCGTTGAATATGGTCTCCCAAAGACTTCCTAATCTCCAAAACCACTTGCAAATCCATTGGTTTTTTCTCAGACCCCTTAATATTTATTTATTTATTTGTTTGTTTGTTTATTTATTTATTTAAATCTCATGTGGGTGTGTGTGTGTCTGTGTGTGTTTGTGTGTGTATACGTGTTTGTGTGTTTGTGTGTGTGTGTGTGTGGTACTGGGGATTGAACCCAGGGCCTCATGTGTCTAGGCAAGCCACCAAGATACTTCCCCATCCCTTTTGAAACTTTATTTTGAGACAGGTCTCACTAAGTGAGAACCTGCAAATATCCCACCTCAGTCTCCTAAATAGCTGGGATTATATGCATGTACTATCAGTCCTGGAATTCTCTTAATTTTTAATTAATCCATAATCTTAGACCTTTCTTGGTACCCACTTTCAAAT